GTATTTGAGGAGTGTGAAAAATAAGATAATAAATGGCAGAGAAGATTCTATTACCATCAAAATAATTGATATTGTTCATATTGTTTGCTCTTTTGTTTTTAGCAACTTTATGATATCATTTCTTTCCGTGTAAAAGGTTAATTTTTGTTACTATCTGAACCAAAAAATAATAATTTTATTTACCCCTTGTGAATTTACATATATTATAAGAACTTTTTTTTTTTCCTGATTATTCATCCAGTATAAGATATTCGCTAATTAAAGATAATTATTCATTCAGTATACGATATTTGCTAATTAAAAAAGTTTAATTATGTCATAAAGTCACATTCGAGGTAAAACGTTGACTATGTAAGAATAATTTTTATATTCAAAATTTAAATCTAAAATTTCTAATGAAAAATGAAAAAATAACTACGACTCAATCACAATTCTAAGTAAATGTAAGTACTAATTTTACAAGGTTCACGACATATATAGTCACATTAAGTACTCTTCGAGGGTGGCCCAGTAATTTAAGCTTGGGAGTCTCAAGTTTGAAAATCCTTGCCAACGAAAGCAAGAGGTTTGCCTTCTGGATCGAGCTTGTCACACCGGAATTGCCTAATACGAATTATCTCTCCTATGTGGTTTGCAAGCTATTGCATAAAAATGGTGATGTCTTACCCTATACGCACCAAAAGATAGCGATTACGAATTTTCCTTATTATTAAAAAAAGAAAATAGTCACATTAAGTGCATACTCAAGACTTATCTTATCTAGTGATTATGTTAGTTAATTAGTGGAACGATTGTGGAGAGTACTTCTAATATTATAAAAGAAAATTATACATTTCTTTTTGATTTGTCATTAAATAAAATTAACAATTAATTAGAAATCGCTCCTAGTAATATTTGAAAGTACGAAGGGGTGTCAATCGACTCTCTAACGATAAAAATGGGGTTTTCTTTAATGATAACACGTTAGTACCAAAAATAATTTACCCTTATAAAGTGGTTGATATGTTTAATACCTTAGGATTTTAGTATTTATTCCACACCAATGTCAGAGTTATTATTAGATAATTAATAGAGAAAAATCATTAATTTGCCAACTTGAAAGGGAAAATACTAGTGGCAAAAAATGCTGGCAAATAATAATCATGCTAGTAGTACTTCTTAATTTATTAAATGTGACACAATTATATGTGTAGTAATTTTGCATTATAAAAATATCACAAAATTAGTTGAAGCTTACTCACTGCACACATGTTGAGTTCTATTATTCAGTATAGTTTACTAATCATATTATATATATTTAATATTGTGATGGTAGGATTCTAATTAATTTTCGGCATATTAAGAATTTAAATCGAGATAATTTTAATCATCTCAATTTAAAGAAGGAGGATTTTGTTCAATAATCGATATTTGGTTATTTATTTTTACCGAAAACACACAAGTACCCTTTTAACCTATTCCCGAAACTTCAGAGACATATTTATACTATACTAAGGTCCTATTGCTCATTGAACTTATTTTATTAGTAATTTTCTACCCCTTTTCGACCTACGTGACACTAGCTTTTAAAAAAATCAACCAGCGTTGGGCCCACAAGATAGTGCCACGTAGGCCGAAAAGGAGAAGGAAATTATGAATAAAATAAGTTCGGGGATAATAAGACCTTAGTATAATATAAGTGTGTTTCTGAGATTTCGAATATAGATTGAAGGGATACTTGTACATTATTTTTTAATTTTAATAATGTCATCAAAACGATAAATTACTTTCTAATAAGTAGGCATGGGAAGAATAAAAAAAAATTAAAAATATCAAAATTAAGAGTTGAATGCATGACCTAGAATATTTTAAAAACACCCTTTGTCACTATAATGGATTTTTTTTATTATTATTGAGATTTGAGTACATGTAATTTTGTCCATTGAAGTGTAAGTAAAATTGATAAAAAAAAATTTAACAAATGATAAAAACCATTGTATATATTAAGTGTGCCTTGGAATTCAATAATCAATTTATGCACAAAATTTTTAATTATTAAATAACTAGAATTAAGCATAGTCAAATTTGTTTCCCCATAAGAATCATATCCCAATAAACTTTCCAAAATATCAACATGAATATCCACTTTTCTTGCATTCAAAACAGCAAAAAATTGAGGCATTTATGCAGGAATATAACATGAATATATAATTAATTCATGTGCTTATGGACAGTAGGAAAAATAATAATAATTATGTTGTCACTTCTACAGAATTAATCGGGATCTGTTGATGACAAGTAACAAATATTTAATAAAATAGTCAATTTATCTATAAAATGTGATAGACTAATTCCTTACTCGAAACTTAACACATATTCGTGATTTTAATAGGTATCGTATATTTATCATCGAAAAGTCATTTGAGATAAATATGATCCCTCTATACTTAAAAGATTTTTTAGCTCTGAAAATCGATAAAATCCTAATATGGAGTGCTTCGAGTAGAATTTTAAAAATTAGCCTTATTCTGAACTTGTAATTTGAAAAATAGTCACACATTTGATAGTAATAACCAATTTTTTTAATACATTGTAAATTTGAGTTAGTTTAATCAGTGAATTTCGAATAACTAATGATTATTAAAAAAAGGTGTATTGTACTTTTGTGTGTAGCATCTTTTTATTGACAAAAGAGGTTCAAACACTACTAATAGGACAACCAAAATTAACAAAAGATTATGAATCATAGTTTTTTAATTCCCCCTTATTTTTCAATGTTTTTTTTTCCAATTAAATAATCAAAAGAGAGATTAAAGGTGTCTAATCTTAAAACTTTTCAATTTAATCATGTCTTCTTTTTTCTTTTTCTTTTTGGCAAAAAGTTAAATTTAGATCAAAGTTATTAGTAATAATTAGTTGAGTTCAAATATAAAATTGCATGTTAATCCACATATGTTTAACTTTAAACCAACAATGTCAGTGGGAAAAAAAGAAAGACCTTGACCCTCTAAAATAAAAGCAAATAAATCAATTTATTTTTAAAACATCAACTTTAGTAAGTATTAATCGACATTTGAACATAATAATCGTGAAATTTGAAAAAAGAAAATTAAAAATAGTACAATATTTGAAAATTGAAGTTTTGTTCGAAGATGATTAATACAAAGTGAAATTATTTTTTTTGATTTTTGAGCAATTCGAAGTGAAAATTACGAAAAGAGTGTTTTGGATCGATATTTTTTGACTTTTGAAATTTAATTATAATAATTTTATGTCCAAGAATTTCTCGAAATAATATTTTTTTTAAAAAAAAAGAAAGTGATACATATGAAATAAATTCTCTAATTAACCTTTTTCCAATACAAATCAACCATGACCTGGCACAGATAATGGATCAAGCAAATAACTATTTGAGTTTATGTTTTGTACACGATCAATAAATAATTTTTTAACATCGTCAAGTTAAGTAGATCAATGATACAAAGTAACTTGCTATAATCAACTAAACACTATGGACAAAGTAAAAGCAGGAGTCGATGTAGATTTATCTGAACTCCTTTATCGAAACTTTACATAATATATACAAGATTAACATCTTTTATATATATATATATATATATATATTTGAATACCTGAATGAAAATTCTAGTTCTTCTATTGAATGTTAAGTGTATATAACTTAATAGTCAAAAACTTATTTATGAATTTCTACAACGATCCGAGTATTTTTCTTGCAATATTCTCTTTGCTTAAGTCACGTGGAAAAACATCCTTAGTTTTTTTTTAAAAAAAATTGAAATTTAATAATTTTGCAATATTATAACCTGTGCTTTTTGCCATTTTTCTGTTATAGTGGTTAAAATGGCTGGCAAATTAGCTATGGCCTGACATATATAGATGCACATACTGATCAAATGCTTTACCTAATTTTAAATAAATAGCTTTAAAAATTATGTAGACATATATAATAGTTAGTTGGGAAGGTTCCATATGAGAATGAAATGACAATATTGTGGTCCATCTTATATACATACAAATATAAAAGGAAAAATTTCATAGTAGTAACAAGTCTTTGCACTAAAATGGTATTAGATAGGTTTTGATTAATTCAGATTCATGTCATATAAGATTTTTTTATAAGTGTATATTATTAGGTTCCAACTAATATGACTAATTCAAATTTATGTTACATAAGATCTTTTACAAGTGTATAATGTACTAGAAAACGACTAATTCAAATTTGTGTCACATGAAATTTTTTACACGTGTATACTACTAGAAAAGCAGGAATTAATTTCCAATGGGATTTCCATATTGGAAAATCCGTCAGATCCGACGTTGGGATTGTTTGTCAATAAATTTATTTCTCCATTTCAAAAAATTATCTAATTTTTATACAGAATATTTTAGAATTTGGAATTAAACAAATTAAATTTTCATATTAAATAAATAAAGATTTTTACATGTACATCCAATTGATGTATTGCAAAGAAATGTCTATCCTCTTATAACTAGTATCATTTCTAACATCTTATAATAACTAGTGTTATGTCTAACCTCTTATAATAACTAGTAATATGTGATAAACTTAATGTATTTTAAGAATATAGGTACACAAGAATTAAAAAAACTCTAAATTAAAAATATTTTTGTTAAATTTGATTCAAAACTTGTATATATATAAAAAATTAAATTCAGTATAGGCAATTACTAGCATTTGAGATTGATACGTCATTATTCAAAATTTTTAAACTTTTTATTTTATGCTCACTCTTTTTTTGGGTTAAAATTATAAATAAAAATAAATAAATCATCTGATAAGAATTGCAGCTGATTAGTGAAACATCAACCTAACATAATATAAGATGAAAAAACATAACTTTTTAAATGTAATTTTTATCTAAAATATTTTTGATAAAATTCATAAAAAATTAAAATGGTGTTATAGAAAAAGAGATTGCATTCACACATAATAAAATCAATTCTACACCTTCAATAATTTTAAAAGAATATCTTATTCTTGATCCTATATGTATCTTCCCACAGCTTTATTGAACCGCAACAATTTAATTCTTTCCATCTAAATTTTTTCTTTATAAAAGTAAAAAAAAATCAAAAAAAAATCAGATTTTTTTGTTATATGTATGCAGTTCAAGAAAGCTGTGGAAAAGTACACAAAGAATCATTTTGTACACAAAAATCTCTATAAATAGAATCTCATTAAACCTAGATATGGTTTTTTGAGATTCCTAGAGGAAAAAAAAATTGTTTTCACTGGATGAGAATTTTAGAAGAAGTGAAGTGTTGAGAGAGGAGAAGACTAGACATTATTTATAGGGGTAATTTGAGTGGGTAGGTTGGGGTGGGGTGGAGTAAGGGTGGGTATCATTTTACTGCTGATCCCAAGAAGAATATTGGATTGGGTCTATAACAAAACTCTGAACAAACCTGCTTTTTGAATAAATATATTGGGTTTTTTTCTAATTTAAGTGGCACTATTATTAAATAAAAATAAATAAATTTTTGAAACTTGTTATTTAGAACAAGACTTAAATAAATATGTGGTTACAAATTATTTAGTTATGTGTAAAAATAATTTTGAATTCTTCTAGCAATAATAATATATTTGATGTAATTTCAAAAGTTAAATTTTGAGGACTAATATTTATAAATTTTATGCCTAATAGTAAAAAAAAAAGTTATATATATATATATATATATATATATATTTTTTTAGAATACATTACATAAATT